CGGTGCTGACACCAATGGTAATATAATCCCGAACATTGTAACTTGTCACAGGTCTCCAACGAATAATGTTTTTCAAGGAATCATCCTAACGTGTACGAGCCACCCGTAGAGTGGTCATAATACATCCGTACCTACCTACCAAATTGTCTAACGTCAATATATTTTTTCATTTACAATGCACTCGTACATATCAAAGGGGATTTTAAGAGACAACACGCTGAAAACATTATTTTCATTATATTGTAAAACATCAACTATATTGTTAGGTATATTAATAAATAACTATATTATATTATTGTACAAAGGTTATACTAGCGGACCGCATCAAATGTAGATATACTTGTAGTGTTTAATGCGTTTATTGTACGTCGTACAATATAAATATTTTATATAGACGGTTAAAGGGATTAACTTTTATAATCTCCCGTTAGTATGCCTTTTTTTCCACTCAGTTACCTACATAATATACATTTAAAAACTGAAAAAGTTTAATATGACCGGTTTCACTGGTCTCTCTACACGGATTCGATATATTATCATGACGTACACTACTTAGTCCATCGATAACGTCGTCGTCGTATACATCTCAAAAATCGTATATATAAACGACAAAATATTATACTTAATATATGCAGACTGTAATATTAATAATAATAATATTGCGGTGTTCGATGGACGGTGATTAGGGCATCGTATATCTTTTCGACATTATTGACGGCAGTATAGACATCATCTTTTATTATTCTCGGTCGTCTCCTTTTCCCCCTCAGTCTTCCAACACACTCACACAGACGTCAGAAACACTCACGCACACACGCAATGATTCACACAATGATTGCGAGTTTTCAGTGATATTATAACTGTTCATTATTTATACATATATTAAAATATATATGTATATAATATAATAATAATAAATTCGACGACTAGAATAAAAAAATAAATAAATAAAAAAAATGTCAACCGGTTTACGATGTATATGTATATTATTATAGCAACCGTTTTTCGAATACAGTTTTCGTTCCTTAAATTACCGCTGCCGCATCCTTTCACTTCGGTCTGGAAGTAGGATGAGATACCTGTAGTGTTAGTATATATACGATCGACCGCTGTTAGCTTCCCGATAAACCACCTCCTGCGTATATAATATGGAAATCCAATTTATACGTTTTTTACGCGGGCGCATTTCTTGGTGTCGTCGTCGTCGGCATCGGCGGCGATTTTATACGAAACGCATAAACCGTGTAACGAGCTCCCAGAACCGAAATCATTTATAATATTAATCCCCACCGGTAGGGTTTGTGAAAACGCATTATGAAAATTCCAATCGTTATCACACGATATTCAAATTTCAACATTTTTCAGTCGACTAGTAAGAGCAGATACTATATTATAATGTACTCTACGGGAGAAAAAATATGCGAACCCTCATCACCAATATATTGTCATCAAATTATTCGTTTGAGAATGTTTTTAAATTATGGTTTTTTTTTCATAAAAATGTTTACCTTAACATAATAATAGAAAAAGCGGTAAGTGTTTTCCAATAATCACATTGAGGAAAACTATAAAATTGTCTGTGCAGTAAAACAAGCGATGAGTTGAGGCAAATTTACGCGGATTCTATATCGTTAAAAAATAAGAATCAATTTTGTACATAGATTTAGTGATACGATACAAAGCCTAAATATTAGAGAAAACTTTTTTTATAACGTAATAGAATCAAACAAATCGCTAACAAAATAAACCGCATTACAACAATATTTGCATAATGGTGTCTGTTAACTTTATAAGAAAAGCCATGTATACGAACGTTAAATAATACTTAATTTTATTGCGAAATACGACCCTGATACAGAATAAAAAGTTTAAATAGAAATAAATAGACAAACGTCTTATAATAATTCGTGTTTCTCAACTTTCTGGCTACGAGAGCTATTGAATTTACGCAGCACGGTATGGCGGACATAAGCAACCAATGCGGTGAAGATGTGTTTATTTCCATTGTTTTTCATAACAGACGGTAGGCGAACAATTTAGATCATCAATATTTCGTCGATGTCCAAAAATTATTCTATAAATAAACATGGGTATTGTTTTTTCAAAAGTAAATAATGAAACGAATAGATAAAAAAAAGTGTACGCTAACCATACTGTACGTTTTAAAAACAAAAATTACGGCGAAATGTATTTTTGATTTGTTGTAAAAATAAAATATTTTCAATTATTCATTATACTGATGTATTTTTATTAGGTTTTTTTTTCAACAATAATAAACTTTGCTTTTTGACAAATCATTCGGAAAAGTTTTTCCGCGAAAATTTTACGACCAACAATGTTAATAAGGATATAGTTTTAAGAAATTATTTTTTTTTATGATATCTTTTTAATGAATGTATATCGTAATATTATTCAATGTAAATAATTTTTAACATTGACGATATAAAATAATGTTTAACCCCGTCTGCCGTTCAGTGGGAATAAAAATTAAATATGTACCAATAATATCGGAATTGGCTTAACCATTAATAAAATGGTTTCTTTTTTCAACCATTATACGTCTACACGGTTTTACGCATAATAAAGTATAATATACTAATAATACCAATATGTACAGCAATATCGTGTCTAAGTAATACGTATTATAATAAAATGTATGGCATAGTTATGTACTTGTACATAATACATACAGGTATAATAAATACAGATACGGTATAAGAACGTTATGATTGGGTAGTATGATTGAGTCGTCGTCGTCGTCGTTTAATTCGATTATGGTACGTTGTACGAAAAGAAACGAATTTCGTTTTTAGATTCGCCTGTAAAAGGAAACGGACAGATATATATCGTGGTAAGTACTCATGTATGAAGTGTAAATCATCATGTAATAATATATGAATATAATGTACATAGACGGAAGAGCAAAAAAATCAAATTAAAATCAAAAAAAATTCAACAAGCTATTATATTATATATTTTCTTTTTGCCTCGTCCGTGGTGTTATATATTACGCACGCACACCGCGCCTCCGACTCTATTAGCCGCCACCTCCCTCTCACAACCAATCATCCACAAAAATCGCACTTATATAATATATAATAACGTATAATAATAATCAAAATAATATATAAGTGTATTATATCGTATATACGTATATGCACGTTATTACCTATACCTATAGCTAAGAGGTACCTTCCTATACCGAAATATTATTATTTATACGCGTAAAAAGAAAATATGCTTTTCGACCCACTTGCATGTGTGTCTGCGGCGGCTGCGGCGGCCGACGTTCTGTATAATAATAATAATAATAATAATAATATACGCTTTTTATCTGACGTAATATTTCTCGCGTATATAATAAAAAAAAATGCGGCGGCGGCGGTGCCGGGGCCGCGTGTGTGGTGCGTCGGTTGCGGTTGCGGCAACCGTCGGCGATGACGACGAGGACGACGGCGACGACGACGACGACGACGACGACGACGAATATAATATCATTATAATCGTTTTTTTTCTTCTCTCTCTCGTCGTCCACCATTTCGTTTTTTCCCTCTTCGGCCGACCGATATAATATAATATCATATCATTACATACATGCGTGGCGATATGCAATTACGCGGGACGGCAAAACGAATTTCGTTTTACACCCGCCAAGTGACGCAAAAAAAAAAAACGCGATTCCGAGGCGAATAAAAATATTTTTCTCGAATTTCTATCAAATACAAATCGTCAAACGGCGAAAAATACGTGTTCCGCCCACGCACTGCCGGCGGAGAGGAGTAACGCGTACCCTTCAAATAATAACAACAACAATAATAATAATAATAATAATAATAATAATAACAATAATCTCCAAAACTACTAAACGCGACGACGACGGTCACGCGGGTTATCGGCGGTTCGGGCCGTAAACACCCGCGCGCGTTCACACACACACACGTGTGTGTGTGTATGTGGAATTGCCCCCTCCCCCGCGGGGACGGGTACAATCGGTGTGAGGGGGTTCGATGCGTGCGTGTGCAGTGTCGGAGGGGAATTATATGTTATTACATATATTATAATATATATATATATATATATAGCGTCATCTCCGGTATAATATTATGTGTGTGTGTGTATATATACGTCGCACGGCAAACGACAGCCACCCGCCGCCGCCGCGCCAAAGCAGCGTCGCCACATAAATATAATATTATAATAGTGGACGGCGGCAGCGGCGGCGGCGGAGAGGTACGTGCGTGCGTATCGGGTTTTGGGGGTGTCCGGTCCGCTGCCGCCGCCGCCGTCGTGGTCGTCGTCGTCGTCGTCGTCGTACGGTTGGTGGGTCGGCGGCAGCGGCGGCGACGCGGGAACGCGATAACGTGGCCTCCCGCGGTCGTCGTCCACCGCCGCCGACGCCGCCGCCGCCGCTGGACATATGACATTTTACAATTCTTCTCACTCGCACACACGTCGTTTAAACACACACACACACTACATATGTTGCGCGTGTGGCGTGAATGTATTCGCGTGAGAGTGTGTGAGTGCGCGCGCAGTTTGTGCACGTCCATATGATATATGTCTGTGTGTGTGTGTGTGTTTACGACGCGCACGACGACGGTGGCGGTGGCGGCGGTGGCGGCGGCGGCGTTGGTGGTGGTAGCGAGTAGCGACGGCAGTGTCGGCGGTTGCTGCTCATTACCGCCACACGTTTCGCGGACGCCGGTCGTCCGTTTTCGTAGTCGTCGTCTAACCTCATACCACGATCACACGCGCTCCGCACAACACTTCTCACGTCGCGTCGCGCGCTTTATATTTTATCTGTCGTCCGTCCCGACGGTTTTCATACGGATCAAATAAATTAATATTTTTATTTTTTTGTTTTAATTTTGTCGTTGACTTCCGCGTTGCGGAATAAAACTTTGAATTTTTTTTTTTTTTTGTGATTTTATATTTTTGTGGGTCTTTTGACCGTCATTTTTATTAACAATTTTACGTACGTTTTGAGATTATTATTATTATTATTATTTTTTTTTTTTGTGTGTACTTTGAATTATTTTTATTTTTACGCGTTTTGTGTTAATTCGTTTCGTATTTACGGTACCAAGTCTCTTCGCGCCAATCATCAACGTCGAGGTTCCGTTCGCTGACATGGTGACAGATACAACGAGCGTTTGATCAGCCCCGAGTCCTCTGCGAATATTCACCTGGTATGTCGAATTTAATTTCATCACTATATAATATAATAGCCACATTATTAATATATAATACTATACATTAGTTTCATTATATTACTATTCATTCTGATATTATATTTTACTAATTAAGATTTGTCTTTCGTATTATTATTCGTATACTGTTAGTTGTATTAGTTAAGAATTGTAATCAAAAAAAATAAATTATTACCATAATTCGCCCGAGTTGGCGGGCAACGCGGCCACGGCGGAGACGATCGTTTTTGAAAAAGCGCGCCAACTTTAGACAGATCTCTCCGCACGCCGTTACGGCGACAGGCGCCGTCTGTTTCGTTTTGCCAAACAAATACGCTTTTATTTTTATTTTTATTATTATTATTATCGAAATTATTATTGTTATTATCATTATTATTATTATTATTATTATTGTTATTATTGCTTTACTTTGTTTGGGTTTGCGCATAATATTATTATTATGATTACGATTATTTCTCTAAAACCGGAAGACATTCGTAAACGTCCCGCGTCGTATATTACTATTACGAATACTACTACTATTACTACTACTACTACTACTAATAATAATAATAATACGAAATCCTCGTATCGTACATGGAAATTTGTTATTATTTTTATATTTTCGCATACGTCGTTCGCCGCGGACGGCGACGCGTACAATCGCGACCGTCTCTATCACGACCATCTGTTCGACCGCGTCTCGGCGACGCGGTGTCATTCGATTGATATGCACGGGAGAGGAGAAGACGTATTATATTATTATTATTATTATAAATTGTTATTGTTGTATCGTCGTCGTCGTCTTCGTCGGCCGCGACGGCTACGACGACGACGATTTAATAATTTATTACGCCGAACGGATTAGCAGCGGTGACGGCGACGTGGTGCGAGTACGAAATAATAATAATAATAATAATAATAATAATATATAATCGACTCGACGAGAGATCGTATAACACACACGCTCGGGCTACGGCGTATTATTATTATTATTATATACGTGAGCAAGAGCGTGTGCGTGTGTGTACTTACGTTACATATATATATATATTATGTGCGGTGTCCCCACGCGTCGCCGCCGTCCTTTCTTTCCGCGCGCACGCAATCTCGTAATTACCGACGTCGTCGTCGCCGTCGTCGTCGTCGTTATTATATATATATATATATACGAAAAAGAAAACGCGTTCTAAAAATACGCGACTCGTCGTTGTCGGTACGGCCGCCGTGTGGTCTGTCGACCGTGAAAAATTGCGCGGCAAAATGATCACTATACGTATATGTAAACGCGCGCGTACGTTAAGTCGACGTGTATTCATATACAGATATGCATATATATATATATATGTATGTGTGTGTGTGTGTGTGATACCGTGTTTACGGCCTCTGGTCATGGACTTTTGCCGGATTTATATTACGCCGTTGTTTTTTTTTTTTTTTATCCCCTTTTCGACGGGTTTTTGTTCTTCCCGCCTCGGGAGTGTCTCGTGTGTATATATATATATATATATATCTAATATTATTGTACGGTCCGTTTTCCAAGCGGTTTTTCGCGCGAAAGACCAATAACTCTCTAGTCTCCCCCCCCTCCTCCGCGCACCACTTCCCGAGATAACTCTGTCCGTCTCGTCCGCCCACTCGTTTCTCTCTTCATTCAGATATATATATACGTGTGAGAGAATCGAGATACTCGGTTTCGTTTGTTTTCGCCGAAAAATAATACTTCCTCCCCCCGCCATTGTTTGTCGCGAGCGTTTTAAAAGTATTTTTGTTTTCAAAGTTTCGAGACTCGTCGATTATATCCGATTGAAAGTTTACGTCATGAAAACGCGGCGCGGCATAACAATAACAGAACGCCAACACAATGTCTCCTCCGAAGAGACTGTATATATACGTGTAAAAACGTTGTTCGTGCGCGTTTACGACTATCCCGTCTTCTTTGTGCATTTTAAATATTTTTCTCCGTTGTAATACCGTTTTATTTTTCCCGTTTCCTCTGTTGGAACGCATTTCGTCGTTAAAATACCAAACGCGCGATAATGACGGTCGGCGAGAGATAATCGCGAATCGCGTCGTCCGTTCGTGGTTTTACGTATCCCAATATAAAAATTCGAACGTAATAACGCCCGGACGATGTGAATAATATTATATGTATAAAATGTCAAATCGAGCGTTCACATGTTTATGTGTAAAATGGTTTAATGTGATAACGGTAATGATAATAATAATAATAATAATAATAATAATAATAATTGTTGTAATAATAACGATAATCGTGACATTTTTAGCTACGGAAAACATGACAGCCGGGGTTATTAACACTTTTTTATCGCTTCCCTAACCGACTCGTCGATTCTAGACGTCCGTGTGTCATAACCGTGTGTATAAAAACCCTTTTTGAAATGAAAACGAAACGTATCGCATTATCATACGCTATGTGCGTGGCCGTAGTCGGCGTATTTTATTATGTTATAGTGTTTTATATTGTGTTATTATTAATATAAGTGTATGCGCATTATTATAACACACGGACGAAAAACAACAATCGCTTAATATTAATGTTATTACAGTATTATTACAGTATATATTTAAAATGGTCGTTTTTTATGATCCGGCCTTTTGCTCGGTGGAGTCCGACGTATACCTACGTACTATTTATTTGAACGCTGGCTCCACATCATATTATTATTAATTATATTTCTGGACGGTGTTATTTTATTGTCAAGTGGCCCACCTTTATTTCAGTGAAAAGCAATAGTTATTACGATTATTTTTTATGCGGCGCGACGGCCGAGAACAAACCGTCTGCTACGTAATAATATTAATGATATTTTAATAGCACACGTCGATGAAATATAGAGACGTCGTTTCTCGGGCGTGAATACGACGTCGTAGATGACGGGTTTGTTTTGTGTATGCACCTTCTCCGTAACACGTATTCCGTTACGAGTGGCGCGCCGTTATTATTATTATTATTATTATTTAACGATTTAACAATATCTTCATAATATAATAAGAACATTTTAAAAACAGTCACTTCAGATTACTTAACCAATTTGACGACGAAACACACCTACGTTTGCTCGCCCATCCCTTACCACCTCTCACCTCCGTAAGATTTCGCGCTAACGCAATTTCCCGGTATTTTCTTTGTACCGAAACCCCCGATTGCGAGAAAACGCGCGTGCGTAAGAATTTCTGCAAACATTCAACTGTCGAAAACAACATCAACAACTGTCGCCGTCCCAGAACCGAAAATAGGCAACGCCAACGACACTTTACCGTCTGATCGAACCGTTGGTGTACATTAAAAGACATTGGCGGGGCGAATTCGGGATTATTGTTATCCATCGTTTCATTTATTATTATTCGGTTAGCGTTGAGAGTACTATACGCACAATGATCGCGGCGGTGGAGGCCCGTTAACGTAAACGACGTTTAAATTGTTTAACCACTTAATTTCATTCATCCCTCCGCTCAGAACTGCGCACCCAACCGTCACCCACACCTTCATTCCGCCCACCGTTCGTCGTCGTAATATCGTTCGGGTGACAGCTTTTTCAAACCGTTTAATAACGACGACGACCATCATCGTCATCATTATCATCATCATCATTATAATGATGATAAACATCAACATCATCATCGTGGTCGTCGTCCTCCTCGTTACGGACGACGAAGTGTCATATATATAAATGCTACACACATTACGTGTCCACGGTTTTTCTTTCTTTTTCATTTTTTTTTTTTTTTTCGTTATCGGTTTTATATAACGTTGTTGGCAATGTGGCCGAAGCGTCGGTAAAATCGTATTTCGCCGACGTCAATGTTTTACCGCATATTCTTATATAATATTATGAATAGGTTTAATGATACGGATAATTTTCTACAGTCTCTCGCGTCATATTATGGGCTTTTTTTTTTGAAACTCTCGGAATGCAAAAAATGCAAAAACCCGTAATTATTGTTATGTGACATCTCTGTTCGGTGCGCACGCGCATTTGTTATTGCTGGTGGTATGGCGTCCGTGTGTATAGCGGTTAAACCGAAACTCGTTTCGAAGGGCACTCTACGTGCGCCGTAAAACCCGTACACGCACACATACACGCATACTGCAGCGGCGGTGAATCTTCTCCCTCGCCTACGCCGTCGCCGGGTCGTTATATTTCTACCCATCCGCCATCACGTCACACGCACGTTATATACCTGTCCTCCTTCGTTGTCGACCGGGTACACCCCACACACGCGCTCGCGTTACCCTTCACCGCCGTCGCATCCTATATCCTCTTATCCGTAGGGGATAACTCGCACCATACACCCTCCCTCTACACACCTCACCCCATCATCGGTCATTTCGACCACCGCGCGCCCCTTGCAAACATCACGCCCGCTCGCTAACCCATCCACTAGTCCGCTTACCACCCGGGTTTCTCGGGAAAGGCATCTCTTTTTTTCCAGACCCCCGCGCTTCAGGGATATCCGGCGGTAAGGGGTGGAACGCGACGCGGTTTGATATTTATTTTTCCCATATTATTACTATGTTTATGTATTTATGTGTACACATACTGTGGACAAATAACACTATACGGTCGTGCGTCGATTTCTGTTTTTCGTTTTCCAGACGGTATTAATAGTCGTCGTACCCGAGGAGTACGAGAAGCGGAAGAAGTTGCGGCCGGTTTAACGCCGAACGGATTCTTTGTAGTTTTTAATAAATAAAAACGCGTCATGGAGGTGGGTCTAAAGAAAGACTCCCCAATTACTTACAGCAACGGAAAGCGCTTGTTCACCATTGACCAGAAGGTGGACGCGTTGGTCCGCATCAAGATGACTGGATGCTCAAAGGCCGAAGTGGCCAGGAGCTTGCACGTGGCCGAGTCCACATTCCGCGGATGGTTTAAAAACAAGGACATTGTGATGAAAGCAGAAGCCAAATATAACGAGATGAAGAGCAGGTCTTCGTCCGCGTCTTCGGACGGCTACAAGTCGGACGAAAATTCCAAATCGTTCTCGGTCGACGGATCAGACAATAACTCGTCGACATACACAGATGAGCGTGAGGGCAGCTTGTCCCGATTCAGCAGTCCCGACCCGTGCACAACCAATCCGATTCGTCGCAGTCCCGAGAGACTTCATCACCATAACAAGCTCAAGATCAAGAAACAACAACTCAACAACGCGTTGAGCTTGTGCAACAACAACAACATCATCGGTGGCAGTGGCGGCTTGCTCGGCGGTGGCTTGATCGGCGGCGGTCTTAACGCCGGCCTCAACGCTAGCCTCAACGCCAGTCTCAACGCCAGCCTCAATGCCGGACTCAACGCAAGTCTCACCGCTGGCTTTAACGCAAGTCTCAGCGCAACTCTTAACGCGAGTCTCAACGCAAGTCTCAATGCTGGTCTCGGTGCAGCTGCACTCAACGGCGGCCACGGTGCCGCCGGCCTTAACGCTGGTCTCAGCCTCAATCAACAATCGCAACAACTCCAGCATCAACTATCTCAGCTCGCTCATCATCCATTGCACCACAACATGTCTCCACTCGGAGGCCTCAAGGGCGGCAACGCCGCCGCCGCAGCAGCAGTGGCCGCCGCCGCCGCAGCCACAGCCGCAGCAGCCGTCGATCGCGCGAATCTCCGTCTCAGCCCAGCTGAAATCCAATCCAAGATCAACAATTACTTTGGTCCAGGCCCAATGATGGTGAGTCGCCTATACGTTTTAATATTAATAACGATATTACAATCCATTGCTTTTAATATAAATCAGCACAATAATTTAATACACAATGCCACAGTATAATAATTTGTCGTAGGTATATAGTGTTTGTGTGTGTGTGACATGTGTATTGTGTATACGGTTTATGATCGTCGTCGGTACTAGCTCGCATCATCCTCGTCACGGTTCCGGCGGGTCGGTGTGTGGGTCCTTTGACTGCGGATACCCCCACTCGCCGCGTCTTCGACGGCGGTGGTCACACACACACGACGCATCATAATATTATACGCGTACCGTCGTCTTCTTTTGAGTGTTCGGTGTATTATATATTATATTATACCATTATAATGACCGATAATATATTATACGATTTCTTTTTTTTTTTTTCGGTAAATTTTACAACCGACGCGCACATCGTCGTTGTCGTCGGTTTCACGAGATTTATATGCAGTTTATATATATATAACAACCCTCCACGCGTGGCTAGAGAGAGAAAAAACCTTTTTACTTTTCCGTATAATAATACGCTCGTACGCGCCTTTTTTCCATCCCGTACCCGCACACCGTGTGCACATTATATATATATATACTGTTGTCGTGTACATGCGATCGCGTACACACTCACACCCACACACACACACTCTTTCGGGTGTGTATAGCACATACACTCACACTTATATATATATATATATTGTGTACGCTTTGACGCCGTCGTTGCCGCCGTGTCATATGTATACAATATATAATATATATATATATATATATATATATGTGTGTGTGTGTGTATGTGTGTGTGTGTGCGCGTTTAGGTTATTACGGCGTGTGCGAGGGACATACACACACACACACGTGTAAACACTCGCGAACGCACCGCACACGACGACGACGGTCAACGTTATTATTACTCGCACGCCTCTCTCGCACAACGCACAAAACACACGTGCACAATATATACCATTTCGAAGTTTTCCTCCATTTTTTTTTTTTTTTTGTGTTCATTTCTCTCTGCCGGCCTTTATTTCGTTTTATAACCCGGAGGAGAGAAAAAAAAAAAAACGGAGAAAGAAGCAAAACATTACTCTGCACTCGACCTGTGCAGCAGCAGCAGCAGCAACAGCAGCACCGTAGGTTAAACCGTATTATCTCGAAACCATTATTTCATATACGCACGCACACAGCACACCCATATAATATACGCACACGTGTGCCATAACGACGACGACGACGACGACGGCCATAATATAATATATTATTATAATACGGTCTCGGGGCCGCCGCGTGTATAATAATTATTATCGCGAGGTTTTTATTTAACGACGAGAACGATCGCGCCGTGCGTTGCATACCTATGCGTGCGCGCGCGCGATGCCGCCGCCGCGTGTCGCCGCGCAAAACAAATATTTATCGCCGGCTGAAAAAACGCGGCCCCGCGAGTCCTCGTTATAATAGTAATAATAATAATAATATTATTATTACTATTATAAATTATAATACACGCACGAGTGACAGCACCCAACCTAACCTACGACGAAGACGACGACGACGACTACTTTTTTCGGTCTCGTCCACTCGCCCTCCCCCGCCCCTCCTCACCCACACCTATGCCGCTGGTTTTAATTGTCATTGCACACAATACATTATTCACATTATTGGACGTAGTAGTAATACGTATTTTTGTTTTGTTTTGTTTCTGTGCAGGCGGCCACTTCGCTACCAGGTTCAGTCAACTATCTCTCTCCGAATTTCTCCGCGGAAAATTCCTACAACAACAAGTCGAGGTAATTTCGCTCAGCGCGTTTGTCGCAGTATCGCGCGCCGCCGCTGCCGTCGCGTATATAGAATGAGTAACGGTCGAGATAAAATATATATATATATATAATATTGGCAAAATAACGAGAAGGAACGAGATAAAAATGTATAAAATAAACAAATACAATAAATAATACGACGAAAAATAAAATGAAACGGAAAACGAATACGACCGATGACGAACCGCCGCGCGACTCGTGCGATAATTGCGTGACGTCGCGTCCGACGACGACGAGTTTGCGGAGTGGCGGCGGCGGTGGCGCCGTCTCGTCGCGCCGCAGTTGCTCGATCTGGCGCGGGAGTACCCCGCGCGCGGCGGATGGGCGGGCGGGCGGAAGAGAGTGCCCGGAGGCATGCTCGCCGTCGCGGTCGTCGTGCCTGGCCGGCGCATAACATAGGATAATAATAAACACACAATAATAAAATCAATGACCGACCGACCGACCGCCGCCGCCGCCGTCGCCGACACACGAGATCGGCGATCGAGATTTTCGTTTTCGGGTCGATCGGCGACGACGACGACGGCGATTATCTATTGTGTAAAATAATATTATTATTTTTATACACGTCGTACACCGGTGCATTATATACATTACATTATTATATATATATATATATATATATATATATAATATGTACAGTGTGCAACGCGTATCTCTGAGGTACGGTCTCGTTGTACCGTCGCCGCCGTTTTATTATTTGACGCGGTCCGATAATACCCAGTCGCACTCGGTTAAATAACACGACGTATTATTATTATTATTATTAAGCAGACGGCGGCCGCAACGGGTTACACGGCGATCGGGTTTTTATTATTATTATACGTACTTTTTTCTTTTTTTTTTCGCCATCGGATTTCTTTTCTTTGTCGAGAGACTCGACGACGACGACGCGACGCGACGCGACGGTATCGTTATCGTAAATTTTTTTTTTTTTCGGTCTGCGAGGTCAGGCGTCGTCGGCGGACCGAGTGGGGGACACGCGCGAAACACCATAATAATAATAGTAATAATAATATATTAAATTACATTATTACTATAATCGCCCGATAACGAGGACGACGGGGCGACGTGCTATCTGTTCGTTCGCGCGCACTGTCCCGTGTATCGTCGCCGTACACTCACGATACGATACCATGATATCGACGTATAATAAATGTATTATAATAACGCGGTATAACAAGATGGCGGGCGGCAAAAAAATCACGGAAAATTCTTGGGAAACGCTATTTTTTTACGTTCGGCACGTTTTGCGCGCCTACGTAATACAACGTATTATAGGTACTCGAGCGAACGTGTCGACGGTCAGTAGTCGCGATCGTCCTCCGTTAGCAGCGATTAGGTTTAGCGTATGACATAGCTGCCGTAAAATATCATTGCGTGCAGTTGCTTCTGCGGTCGTTTTGCTGGACGGTGATTTTCATGTTTTATGTTTTGTGTGTTACAGCAGTTTCATCAACACTATGGTGACAGCCACACTCATGGAGCCGCAGGCATTGGACTTGTCCACTCACTCCAGGAATAAGTGTAAGGATTTCAAACCGTCATTAACCACATCCACGGTCACAAACACTACTACCACAAAAACGAGCCCGAAAATACTGAGGCACAATTCGTACAGAAACCTGTACAAGCCGTATAATAGCAGGTGCACCGACGACATCGAACATACTAGACAAGGCGAGAGACTTTGCTCAGTACCGCGAGAAATCCTCTCTAGACAATAATAATAATAACGTTCTAATAACAATAAATACACCTCACGATACCCGCGATAACCCAACGACCCACACGCGCTCGCCGGCGACGTGTTTAGTTTTACGACGTCGATATTCCGATAAATCACATTCCTAACAGCGGCACAGCAATAGCGACGTTTTTCGCCATAATATACGTCCATTACGTATCGTATATATATATATATGTTGGTGTGGCGTACGTTTTTTTTTAGGGCTTACGTTTTGTCGCTTTTTTCACCCCCGCAAGCACGATCGATTGTGTGTATATATATAAAGGTGCTGTGTACCGCACATACCACACGCACATCGATCATCGTATACATTAAAAGACTCACTCTCTTGAACGGCATTTGATAAACGCTCGCGAAAAAAATATCCCACGTTTACGTGCAGTATTATTATCGCAATTTTTATTCTTCTCCGCCCGTTTCCGATCAGCCACCGCAATGTTTACCAACCGTCTATTATTATTATTATCGGTCTATAAAAGGCCGGGCCCGTGCGTGCTACTCGTCGAACATACGTGATTTCGTCGACTTTTTCCCATCTCCGCGACACACTTCATGATAATAATAACAATATAAAATATTACTATATACTACCTCGTCGCCGTTGAGTAAACACATCTCGCACACAAACACGACGATCGCGTCGTCGACGGTGGTGAAGTGTCGCCGTAGGGTTTTAAAGAGGGGAAAAAAAATTTCCGTTTGCTACGACCTTTTCCGCAAGTTTCTCGTTTTTTTTTCTTTTTTTTTTTTTTCTAAAAAGGTCGAATCGTTTTTCGTGATACTGTGATCATCGTCATTTAATTCGATAATGTTTCAAAAACGTGTTCTGTGAAAACCGTCAGACGCAATTCGTCTAAAAATAATAACGCTCGTGTCCCATGCCGCATAATAATAATAATGATACCCATGTCTCTCTACCCTCTGCCTACACGGTGTCCAGTGCGGTGGTCGCTTGTTCTCCGCGTTTACCGCGGTTCTTTTAATGGACTCGGGAATACGTTTATTTTTCACCCCAGTTTTATTACTCCATAAATTTTCTGGATTTTGAGTGTGTGTGCAGACAGGGCGCGGCGTCGTTTGTCCTTTGGCGGTGGCGGTACGGCACACATCGTGCAAAGACACCGCGGCCTGCAGAAAAAGGGATGCCGGGGCGTGCTTGCGAGCGTGGTAGTTTTTATGGCTGGGCATCAGTAAATTTCCGTAACAGTTATTATAGCTGTGCAAACAGAAAAAAAAATAAATAAATAAAAGCCGCGTTCGAGTTGGTGTGTTAATCTTCTCTTTTGCCGATGCCGCTGCTTGTGTCTTTTTACCATCATGTCCGGTTTTCTATTTTTTCGTATATATACATATATTTACAATAATAACAATAATTATGTTGTTTTTATTAGAGACGGTTAGTGGAAAAACTGATTTATCCTAAAATCGTGCCTGTATTGACCATAATAACACAATAACTATATCATAATATATAAATACACTGTACTCCAAAACTAATCTTTGGGTAGTGTGCGTGTGTGTTGTGTGGTGATACTTAAAATTAAAAGAACGTCTCGAAATGCTCGAATGCTTGGCACGAAAAACTGTACACGCGGTACTATGACAAACGATCTCTTTCTGAGTGGTTGCGGATTTTTAAAATATATATATATATATATGTATTATTTCACCAATTTATAAATTTCAAAAAAAAAAGAAAACGCTGATTCGTTGTTCTCGATTTTAGGGATAGAAAAAATTAAACGAAACGCGTGGTAGAATTTTAGAGTTATCGCTTGGACGTGCACATATATCCGATGATAATAATAATAATAATAATTTCAAACAAAATACAAAAACCCATTAATTTCGATTTCTGTTGGACGCGTAACTTACCTACCCTGTGGGATATTTATCGAAGATTTAATTCCGGCCTACTGTAGTTTTCTTCTTTTTTTTCATAATATAAAGTTTATAATGTAACGATAATAGCAAGAACGCATTTCGTCCCCCCGTGACTTCAACAAACACTTAATATCTTAACATAACATAACGGTTACAAGCTTCTTATACCCTCGAATCGTATTGTCCATACTATATAGTAATACAATAAAATATATAAATTTGATAATATGTATTATATATATTACGCATAATAAATCCACATTTTAAAAAGAAAAAATATTGGAAATGATGAATAATGTATTTTTATTTTTATTTTTAGGCATTAATCCCAGGAACCCATTGTGGCCATTGTAAACCAAAAAGAAAAAACCTAAAATTACTTGTCGCCCACATATTTTTCAAAGAACAGAAGAAAAAAACGAAAAAGGACGACAAATTGACCTATCTGCTTCTCTTAGAATCAACCTCTCAAATTTTTAAAATTATAAAACCCTATTTAATGCAATTCATTAATTTCCGAACAAGTTCAATCTAATATATAATATATGTATATATTTGATATATATATATATTTTATATATTAACGTCATAATATTTAAAAATGTAGACTTTTTGATTTTTTTTTTTTTAAATGACTAAGACAGTTTTCGTTTTGTTTTTATACATAAATATTATTTATGTGTATGTACCTAATTGTAAGGACTATTTATAGTATTTATACATGTAAGTCTATATTTGATACGTTCGTATTAATAAAAACGGTGTAAATCATTTTTAACATATTATTCTATAGACGTTTAATACGAACCATACAAATATAGACATTTATTTATTATTATAATAATCTTTTTTTTTTTTTTTCATATAATTAATTTCTATAGACTATATCAATTATTACTACATTGTTATTGTTGTTATTTGTATTCCTTTTTTGTTTTTTTAACTAAATTGCCGATATTGTAAAGATTATAATATTATTGTACACACATTGTCTTAACCGAACCACTTATCAACAATTTCATTTTTAGCATCATTCATAATAAAAGCCTCAGTAAAAATGCGGAGTCTATATAAATATATATATACTCATATATATATATATAACATACTCCTCGAATCCTATGTTTAGCATTATTGCTAAACGTCACTATAATTATTATATTTGTTTCGAAGTACAGTGGCTAATTCATGGGTATGTCATCGTAAGATCGAGAGCCACCCGTATACGAATGTACGAAAGCTAATCTGTTACTATTTTTCAAATTTGATATTTCTTATTACTGCAATATATTATGAAAACGAAACTCGTTTGCGGGTCGCAGGGTAGATCACTGGCAAGATGTGCATTGTTTTGAATCCTATTGTAATGTATCCGGTGGGAACACCACAAAGTGTAGTTTGTTTTCGTAAGACCATTGAAGTCATACATTTTTTTTTAAATCCTATATTTTCCATCAACTAATGACGCGTGTCGATATTTTTCGCCACAATGTTTTCTTCAGACTTGAACGTACGACCAGAAAGTTTCCAGTACTACTCATGATCTCTTGTTTGTATACATTATTTACAAGTTTATATTATACATGCGACTTACCAGAGTCACAAAATCAATACGTAGATATATTACATATATGCAATTTGCTTGTATACAATAATGGACTTTAGACAGGACTTTCTTACCCATATCTCAATAGTGTAATCAGAAAAAAGAAATTTTTCGTTGCAAAAGTTATTCGTACTCGACAGTGGCGCCGAATATAGACAAAGGCATGAACGTACTTAATCATTGCAATATCTCATTGCATTTTTCTTCCTAGAACCATCAAAAGTATATCGCATAGGAGATTTACGTAATACCTATCACGCTTTTAGTATAGATACATAATATTATGTTGTTTCGGTGCCACAATGTACTGATTCTCGTTCTTGATCGGAAATTAAGATTTAGATGTTAAGGATTATTTGATTAGTCACAGTAATAATACGGACATGTTGTATATTATGATTTTTTTTCCTGCTGAAAATGCGCAATAGTATATTCTGTAGGAATTTAAATAACGTTACCTACCTACTCACCTATCACGTTTTTAATACATGTATAAATTTCGGTGCCAATATTGGTTCTCGTTCTTGATTGGAAGTCAAGATTTAGATATTAAGGTTTATTTATCGAGTCACAGTAAAAGCGTGAACATACTTTACATTATGATTCATGAGTGATTTAATATGGCGAATGGGATATAATTACCTACCTAACGAATGTAATATGATTTAAAAAGTCTGCTTACATGATACTATTGTACCCAAACTCTCACCGTATGTACATAACATGTATGACATTGTGGTTGACTGAAAATCGCTAAGATCGTCAACATTAATTTTATATTGTCTTTTATTTCTTATTTTTTGAATAGCCTCTGTTAAATATAAAATATATTATAGCCCGACAGTTATAAGCACTGTCCTTTTATTTCTTAATATATATTTGTAGGTTTTTTAGCTAAACCAAAATTACACAGGCATGCTACTCATACTATAGTATGACTGTTATGTGCCTGCGTTTGATTAGCTAAATGATCTACTTTTAATATATTCTTAAGCATTTGTATCTTTATTTATAATTACTGTTTATACCATTAAGGTTAGGATTACCATAACTCACTCATGTTTGTGTACAATATATTTTATTACATTATTATTTAATATTATTATTATATTATGTATAATGTATACCTATAAATATATATATTTATTTATTTATTATTTTTTTCTCTGTAAATACAATATCAATTGTTAATAAAACGACATTTTTGTTAGTTTATACGCCGGATTGCTGTTAATTAATCCTGATCAGGTAATCGGTTCGACGGAACGGTACGGTTGTAGTGCTTTAACACCTGTTTATACGGAATTAGGAATAAAAATGCTCGACGAGTACACAGACATTTTTAATGCATTGAAAACTCTCCGTTTTCGCTGCACAGCAGTGTGTTATAACTAGAGTACGGATTTTAATGCACTCAAAAGTATCGAAATTGCCATATAATATGCAGTAAAAATCATAAAAATATGCAAGAAAATTTTTTTATTTATATAAGATTTACAAATTAAACAGCTTACAATAATTAATTACTTAAATAAAATAAGTATTTAAAAATGTTTGGTTTTAATATGCAATATATTTCGAATTTTTTAAAAATATACAAATATGTAGGTACAAATAAAATTTTACAATTAAATTCAAATTGTTATGATTCGTGAAGATAACTGAAAAAAATCTAGAAAAATAATAAGCGATTGCATATAAATCCGCGCTATGATTATAATTTAATAACAGCAAAATTATTTTTAACATTTCTACTTGACAAAATGTTATTTTACATCACAATTTTTTTTTTTTTTAATTTTTGCTTTAATATGCAATATATTTCGAATTTTTTAAAAATATACAGAAATGTACAAATAAAATTTTACCATTAAATTCAAATTGTTATGATTCGTGAAGATAATTGATAAAAATCCAAAAAAGTAAAAGAAAATAAATATGCGATTGCATAGAAATTCGCGCTTTAGTTATAACAGTATACTTATAAAAATATAAAAATTATGTACGTACACTTTACTTACATAAATATGTATTTACAAAATATTACGGTTATATATTATATAATATGCATACGTGTATAATATATTATTATAATGTAACCACGTCATACAATCATTGGTTGATATTTTGAAACCAGCGCACACCCAATAAAGCTTCTCTTCATCTGCGGCTATGTCCCCGACGACCAACCGACCAACCAGTGCGGTATTCGCTACAGCGCCGCCGTTGCGTTAATCTCATCGTGTGTGTATATATAATATATATATATATACATACGCGTATAACATTATTATAATATTATGCATATTGCATAAATATATGATATAAAATATACGACACATTTAAATTATTCAAATACCTGAAATGCCTAATGATTCTTGTCAACGAATGTGCTGGAACGCCGAGCGCACTTAATAATATGATATTATTTTATAAACCTAATGTAATAATAATAATAATAATAATAATTATTATTATTATTATTATATTAATAATCATATCACTATATCAGCCGCACGGTTCGCCGTTTATCGGACAGACACGCCCGACTATGTGCAATGTGCATAATATTACACGAGTAAGTGTAATGTACGTGTATAGTGTGCATTATCGATGGATAACACATTGACAAAATGACATTTCTCGGAGAATTTTCTAAACGTCACTGACTATATGCTATACGGTTCGAACCGATTTCTAGTTAATACAACTTATATAACGTGGGCTTTTTACATACGAATTTCATAAAAAATTCATTTTTTTTTTTGTTTAATATATCAATATTATATATAATATAACATCCGATATTTTATGTAATATCCTATCCCGGCTTTAGATTGAGTAACAATAATAAAACTAGATATTTTAATTTTTTAAACTAATTAAACCATAATAATATCATCAACTCCTAAATTTGTATTAAAAAAAAAAAAAAAACTAAAATGTATTCGTCATTACTATACCGGATACCCACGGCTTACTGGTAATGTTCAGTGATTTAGAATGCTATAAGTGAATACTTCCATATTTTTTAGCTTTATGACGGTATAATAAACGCCAAAGATATAAAAAATATTTATCGTTTGCAGTATTCGCATCAAAACTAATGGGACAAAAGCCCCAATATAAAATTATATGTTTACACCTAACACATGCGCTATAAGTATCAATGATAAAAAAAAAAAAAACAAAAGTATATTATTTGTAGGATTATCAATATTTTATACATCAAAATATTTTAAATTAAATCATCAATGATTTATAACATATGATGTACGTATATAATCGTAAAAATCTATAGCTTAGTTAAAAATGAAAAAAAATAATAATTTAAAAACTCTTTTATTTGTACCTAATCAACTTTGTATAATTAATTGCTATTAAAGTAGATTAGGTTACCTATAGCTTCTTACGCGAATGCTTACTAAGTAATTACGATAAAATATTATTGTATAATAAAAAAAATTGACGCTATATCTTATTTAGATAATAAACGTACAGCTAAGATTATATTCGTTTGTATAATATATTCATGCACTTTGAACGATACACGTTTTGTATATCTAGAATTAAGTATTAGGTCGGCTTCTGTGCTAGAGAAAATGGAGTGCATTGCCTTCTTTTTTACCTAGGTCATCAATGACTATTGGCTTTATCGAACTAAAAGGAAGTTTTCTGGTGGTTAATTAGTTTAATTTAATATTTGGTACTTTGGAGGATAAAAATAGAAAATGTATAGTTCTTTTCAAAATAACTGTGAAAAAGAAAAAAACATTAAGGAAAAACGAGAATTGTTCTTGTACAAAATTAGTAGGTAGGTACTCGTAGAAAAACAGGTTTTTTTGGCATAACTCAAAAACGAATTTTTTTCAGATTTTAATGTCAATATAATCTATTTTATTTTTAGACATTTTTAATATTCAATTATTATGTTATTATTATTATATGTCAATAAATTTTTTTTTGAAATTTTCTATATTATTTTTTAGTTAAAA